TTTTTTTCTGCAGGTTTTTTTGTTTTGCTACCTGGATATCCAGGTATCAGATTTTGAGCCCACGCTGCAAATATGCAGCACACGAAACATTTTTTTGTTCCCAGTGTGTGTCCTGCCGCATCTCAGTCTGCTTTGAGATGCAGTAAGAGGCTCATGAAGACTCATTTGGACGCATCTTATCTGTTGAAAATATAAAACATAAAACACTTATTTAAAGCATTTCAAGATAAACTCAAGTATGGATGACTGTCATCTTTTGACTTATAAAGACAGTGCATTTGGTACTGTATATAATAAATTATTTGTTTTTCTTTAGGAGTCTTTATAATCTCATTATATATTGTTCTTTACTACAAACAAGCTTTTTTATTAAATTATTTACAAACAAAGGTTACATATAAAGTAAAACTGACAGGTATTCTATTCTTAATTTACTATTTTGCTTTTTTGAAAAGGTTGAACATTAAAAATCATGTGTCATGAATATTGTCAAAATCGAATTTAAAAAACTTTTGAAATGCCACTCCCACACACACATCTTTTTTAATTTTAAAGATAATCAGATACTGTTACCTCAAAAGGAAGAGTTGCTTAATAGGATGCAGCAGAAGATCTGTAAATTCAGTTATGTTCTAGATGTGGTTCTAAGAAATGCATCCTAGTAAAAAATTATTGTTTATACTTTTATTTTTCACTGTTTGAATGCATAAAAGCAATTAATGTAAAACTGTTGAATATATAGTCAGTGCGTTATTTGTAACTATTTTTTATAGATTACGCCACCTCCTTCACTGTCAGATCCACTTAAAGAACTCTTTAAACAACAGGAAGTTGTGAGGATGAAATTACGTTTACAGCACAGTATTGAAAGGGTAAGACTATAATAAAATATTTGTGTCTTTGTTATAAGCTTTTTATATGGATGGGCTAGAGTTTAAGTTACTAGTAAATTCCTTGTTTTACAGTTCAGAGAAGTGTTGCAAATATTCATGCTACATGTTAACCTGGAAATAACAGCAGAATTTAGATGCGATATAAGTGGTAGCACACCCCACACTAATCAATAGGTAATGTGAGAAGTCCATCAACTTGAAATTTGCTTGGGTTGTGTAAAAAGCAGTTTTTATATGAACTGTGGAAATCATCCAGAAATACAGAACAGCATTCTAAAATTTTTTTGAATGTCAGAAGTTCTAATATTATAAACACTGACTAGGTTTGCTTAATGTATGTTCTGTTAATACTACAATGTATTTCTTAAATAAATTAAACAATAATTGAACTGGGTTGAGTTGTTCTGGAGTAATCTCCAGCGAGAATTTTACCTGGCTCTAAAATATGCATGTTAACAAGCATGTTTTGTTATTTTATTTGTTAGAATCTCACTACACTTTTGTTAAGAGTTAGATTAGCAGACTTTCGGAAGTTAGAGATGGAAGATCCTATGCCCTTGCCAAAGCATATTTTTAGATCCATCAGCATTGCCTGTTGAGCTTTTTGTTTTAAGAATTCTGCATGTATTAGAAAAAGTAGCGAGGAAAAGTCTGTAAATCCCTTAAAAATCTTTTTAGTACAAAGGTGGTTCTAAGAAAATCATGTTCTGAGGAGTATTAGCAGCCCACTAAGAGCTGAGTATATTAGCCCAGGGTTTTGAATTAAAGCAGTGTTTCCCAAAACAATGCTCAGATGGAATGTATTGTTCTGCAGATCAGGTCCAGCTTTGAATTCTGCATGGCCTTGAGCCAAATTAGTTACGTAAAGCCACATTCCCTTGGTACTTCAGGCCAGGGCCTCACATGCCCCTGAGTACCCAAAACTCCCTCCCTCTGTAGCAGTCCTGCCACTTTTTCCATTGTGCACTTTGTTGTTTATATAAGCTGATGTGCATGTCAAGTGAATGTAGCCTAATCTGTTGCCTGTGATGTGTATAGGCAGCAGCAGATGGTGCTGGAGAGATTCCTTTGCTTTCTCCAAACATGAACTCCATGGAATCTCTCCTAATGGTGAATATCAGGCTTTTACCATTTACCTTTTTGAGACTTCTGTTTACTGATACCTAAACTGTTCCCTGAAATGTGGGAAGTGATTGGATAGGAAGTCCAACCCTTCAGTCCGAACATAATATCTAAGAAATCATTACAGTTGTCTGTTTAGGCTGGCGGTGGGAGAGGCAGAAACACAATTTTTATCTCTCAGCCCAGATAACTTGCTCTCCTTCTGCATCATCATTGGAAGCTCTCAAAACAATTCACGAGTCCTGAAAGGCCTCTGGATTTAGAGATGGAAAAAGGAAAATGAGATTATTTCTGCTGCCTTGATCTCTCTTTTTTTCTCCCACTGTACTTGGCATCCTTACATCTAGACTTACAACCTCCACTTTGCCTATTGCTCTCCAGCAGCCACCTACCCACATCTTTTCTGCTTTTGAATCCTCTCTCTGTTCTTTATCTTTGCCCCTTCCCCTCTCTCACACCAAATACTGCTCCCTGCCTTGGTCCTCTCTCATTTTGATTCCTCTTTGCTGCCTCTCCCCTTGCTCCCTCTGAGTCCAGCCAAACTGCTACTGCTAAAATCACCATCCCCTCCTGCTGCTCTGCTTATGTCACTCATTTCTTCATAACCCTTCACTGGCCTTTCCGCATCTTCTGCATCATAGTCAAATTTCTCCCCTCTATGGCTATACTTTTTGTCCTGTTGTCCCCTTTTTTCAGCCCAGGCATCCTTTGCATCCTTATCTCTGGCATCTCTTGTGCTGTCTTCCATTCCTCACCATTCTCACTCACTGAACAATCATTCTGTCAACATGTATGTCATGTGACCTGCTTTTCTGTTTTATTCCTTCCCAGAACTATTTTTCTCTCAAGAATAATCTTAGTGAGATTCCTGTATACAACTCTTAGGGTACTCTGGGTGTAAATTGTGCTGACTGGGTCCTGACTCAATGGCATGTCTTTCTCAATTCAAAACCAAAATTTCAATGAATGTTCTAGGCATCAGTGGACTGAACCCACTGTAGATTTAGGTGAAAACTGGTAAAGCCTAATTTCCACTGAATTATAAGCTCCTTGGGCTGAGGAAGAAAAAGCAGTGCATTACTTCAACCCAGCTGTGCAGTATCTGTAAAGATCAGGTGCTTCAGTGGAGCTTTTTGATGCTTTTAGCTAAAGCTGATTAAATCAGCTATCAGATAAAAGCACCAAAAAAGCCCAGTTAAAGTGCTTGATCCTTGCAGACACTGCAGAATCAGGCTGAAGTTATGCGCTGTATCTTCTGGACATGCACTTGGTTCGGTGCAGGAACACGCCGAGTTTAAAGCACCATTTTGGGGTTGGTTTTTTTTGGGGGGACAGGGGGTTGTTTGTGGGTTGTTGGGGTTTTTTGGGGGGGACATCTGCAAAGCCTCACCAGCAAAGACCGAAGTCAGTGCCTATGGGCACAGGGCCAATCCATGAGCTGGATCAGGTCCATGGACTCCCTGCCCTTTCACCCACCTGCATGCTTGATCCAGCACAGGTAACAGCCACCCAGCCCAGGATGTCAGCCTGAGAAGGTTCCATGAGCTAGTCTACAGAATTTTTTTAAAATGTTTTGGCTCTACTGGTGGGAGAGTTTCTGTGAGTGCCCTGTATTTTGGGGGCAAAAATTTCCACATTGGTCTAGATCAACCAAAGTTGACAGGTGTTCATAGCATAGTGTTTTTAATTTAAAAAATCTGTATCCTTAGCCTTTATCTCTGCCTAATGACAAATGCATTTTTGTTTCCTTGTGGACTAGGCGTTTAATTGATTATGACAAGAAACCTAGTGATCATTTTATTTTTTAATGTTTCTCCATATGAGATGATATAAAAATGCACTCTTCATAAAAAAAAATAGTATACTTATTAGGGATGTGAAAGATTAAATATTTAAATGATGAGTATATTTATACTAATAATGTGTTACCAGTTAAAATTTAGTGCTGGGTGCAGTCCAGTGAAGAAGGGAAGCAGTGCAGTACTGCAGGAATAGGAAAGTAGCACAGCAGACAGGAAGGAGGACTGAGGAAGAGGCAGCAAGGGGTGACTTGTACCCATAGCTGTTCTGCTTCCTCCCTCCCAGCATGCTAGCGACTACAGCAGGCTGGGAAAGCCCTTTGCCTGCTGCTACTACCCACGGCTTCATGTGGGCTGTGTTGTCTGGTGGGGCTTGCTGCTGCCACCTCCTCTCCCCACACCATAAAAGGCCTCAGGGAGTGGCTCCCAGCAGAAGCTATGTCCAAGTAGATCTGTGCACGACCCCCAGCTCCCTGTGCTTCTCTGGGCAGGCGCTGCAGTCTCTCCCCCCATGGCAGGGTGGGGTGGGGCAGGCGCCCACCTGGGGCTCCGCACCCTCCAGCCGGGACTAGGTATGTGTTACTGGTTAACCATTTAACAGATATCATTAAAGGAGGTTAAACGGATTTTTTTTAAATTTATATTTACATCCCTAATACTTACCATGGTACATGCAGCCTCTAACATCACCCTACCCTCCAGCCTCTTCCGAGTCTTTTTCCAGAAAATGAGTATCAGTACCAAGAGACTGTAGAACAAGGAAGAAGGCAAATAAAACTGAGAATGAAATCCTGACCTTAATGAAATTAATGGAAGGTTTGTCATTGACTTCAGCAGGGCCAGGTTTTAGTTCAGAACTTTAACTTAGACAAGTGATATCTTGCCACAGAAAGCAAAATATATATTTTTTGCAGGTATGGCATAAGGCTGTTACTATAGGAAGAAGGGACAGAAAAGTTTTAAGCCTGCAGTTAGCAATGAAAAATACTTTTAAACAAAAAATAAAATATGAATTCTTTCACAGCTAGGGAGTAAAGTTGGCCGAGAACTAAGCATTTTGGGTGCCATCAGAGCACCATGTCTCTTTATCGAGCATGCTAATATTCTCTGCTGCAGTATGTTTGGAGTTTTGGTTCTTACTCCACTGCTGAGGTGTGTAAAGCAGTTAGCTTAACAGCTGCACAGTCTATCTCCAACGAGAGAGCAAAGTCAGATGATTTTTCCATTTCAGCTGTGGTACTGCATCTCACCTCAGGATATGATAAAGAAACAGGGAGTAAAAACTAGGGCTCTTTAGAAACCAAGTAGCCTGCCAGAAGATGGTGGTGCCAATTCTTGCTTGCAAGACTAGCTTTGTTGCTTGCATGGGTACTCTGTAAACATAAACTATAGGCAGTGTCTAAGGTTTCCAGCTGTCATTGCTGCAGATATTAAATCTTGGATAATAATTTGAAATCTAGACCTTCAGAATCACTGTAATACATTTGATCTTGGTCTTTATGTAGAAAGCAGGAAGCATTTTCAAATGCTTTGAATCTCTTTAAAAAAAAAATAATATGCTATATACAGTCGAGTCGCATCTTACACGTATTTAATGTATGCGAATTCAATTATATGTGCGTGGCTGCTGGGGCTGGGCGCTGGGTGCCGGCTGGGGCACGGTGCATAGTGCAGCGCCACGTGGTACTGCCTGCCCACATTGGCATGGCTGGGGGGCGGCAGCTCACTCAAGCTCAGCTGGCTGCCCTGGTAGGATGATGCAGCTGAGGAAAAGAGGGGCGAGGAGTGCAGCGGGAAGGGCAATTTCAGCTATACGCGATTTTCGCCTTACGCGCTGACTTCAGCACGTAACCCCCGCATAAGATATGACTCCACTGTATGTTATGAAGGGCAAAAAATGAGGGAATGTTTTTCATTAAAGCCATTACAAAAACTTAAGGCCTGTAAATAAATAAATAAACTAGGTATGCAAAGATTTTTACAAATGCCAATTAAAATGACAGTTTATGAAGTCTACATTTATATGTTCATATTTTATTCAATTAGGAAAAGCTTATTGTATCCAATGAACAAGAAGTTCTACGTGTCCATTACCGAGCAGCAAGAACGTTAGCTAATCAGACACTACCATTCAGTGCCTGCACTGTACTGCTGGATGCTGAAGTTTATAATGTGCCTCTGGATTCTCAGGTAAAAAGGGTGTCAGAATGGCAAGCTGAATGGTTCTCCTAATCCTTGTATCTGTAAATTCTTATAGCTGACTTCAAAAGAGGAGACACTGGGTGACATCTTTTTGCCTTGGCAAAACTCCCAGAATTTTGCCTGCTGTGGGTCATATTTTGATTAGCCCTTATTTGGGTGTAAAATTGAGAGCACATCACAGGAAATCAGAGCCACCATGTTTCCCTATTTTAATGCATCAGCCTCTTGAAAATCATACAAGATGGTCTTACTGATAATTCTGCTCTCTCCTCTGAAATTTAGCTTTAATGCAAAAAAAAAAATTAGACAGACACAGCCCAATCCTAAACCAAAAAATAATCTATTTTTTTTAATGAGTATTACATTGTCCTAGAACGGGTAGGCAACGTTTTTTGTCCAGAAAAACACCACAATGCCTACCTTGGAAGGTGCTGGAGTGCTGGCATGCCAGAAAAACAAAATGAGGGCAAGGGGTACATGGCAGGATGCCCTGCTTGTGCCCCCCACCCAAAGCCCCTGCCCCCCAGCCCAGGTTCTGTGGCTGTCAGCAACTACCCTGCAGCAACTGCTGGAGCCCAGGCTGCTCCCAGCAAGGCTTGCAGCGCAGCCCTTCCCAAGGTGTACACGCAGTCACTGCCAGCATGGGGTAATGCCAGAGCTGTGGAGCCTGGCGCAGTCTGCCCACTGCTTGCAGCTGCCCAGAGCCCAGGCTGGCTCCAAACAGCTGCGCTGGGCTCCAGAGCCCAGTCACCAGCTCTGTGCTGGGAGCTTGGGAGAGACCGGGGTTGCGCTGTCTCATGCCCCTCCCCCACTGCCCGCTCCGAGGTATGCATGCACACGCCGGTACAGAGCTGATGCCTGGGCTCCAGAGCCCAACCACCAGCTCTGTGCTGGGAGCTTGGGAGAGACCGGGGTTGCGCTGTCTCATGCCCCTCCCCCACTGCCCGCTCCGAGGTATGCATGCACACGCCAGTACAGAGCTGATGCCTAGGCTCCAGAGCCCAACAACTGTTTGCAGCCTCCCAGCTGCAGCCGGCCCCAGCTCTGGGTAGCTGCTGCCAGCTGGGAGCCTGGGGTGCTCCCAGCAGGCCGCTGGGATGCTGCAAGCCCTGCTGGGAGCAGCCCAGGCTCTGTCACTGGCAGCAGCTACCCAGAGCCAGGGCTGGCTGTGGCATGTCGAGCAAAATGGCCTTGCGTGCCGGGGGTTGCCGACCCCTGTCCTAGAAAGATCTGGGGATTGGAGTAGCATGTATCATGAAGAAGTTTAACGCTAGGACCTTCTTGCTTTGTGCATAACACTATCTTGCTCAAATCAGTCATGAATAACTGACAAGTTGCCAGGGAAAACATTTGGTATACCTAGCTGGGGTGTATATGGTGTGTTCCTCTCTAACCCCAAGTATAGCAAGTCTAGACGCATCATATTCTTGAGCTCACTCATTCCGTGTGGAGCAGTATTTGGGAAAAACAAGTAGTTGACCCTCTAGGGCTACTCTTTGTATTTTTTTGATGTATAGAACTACTCTGACTGCTGCTGTGAATCTGAGAACATTTGTATACTACCGGTTTTCCATGAGCAGTCCCATCAAAGAATAGTAGTAGAGATATGATTAGATCTTGCTTTTTGATGGTTGTGTGTTCTCAGAAGTAACTATAGAGAATGGAATAAAAATAATAAAAATAGAAAGCAGTAGAAAGTAAAGGAAAATAACTATAAATAATAGAAAAATATACTAGAAATAACAGTATAACTAATAAAAATAACTTGAGTTTGTTGTGGCGATATGAAAAATATTGACATTGAATAGAAGGCATTTTAAAATGGAACTGTTCTGGAGGTGTCGATGTATATGGAAGTCCACGTTAGTTCTGTAAGTCTTTTTTATAGAATGGATCTAGTGGCTTGCAATGCTCTCTTTAGTGAAATTACTGCCACCAGGAATACCATATTTACTCAATTTCAAGATGAGGTTTTTTTTCCCCATTCAACATGGGGGCGGGCAGGGGAAGACTCAGAATAGAGTATCAGATTGCTCCAGCTGGGAGTTGTGGAGACTGGTACACGGAGGGCCCCGTTCAGCCAGTAGCAGCATTGGCGGCACACAGGTTCCTTCTTTGAGCATCTGCTCCCTGCCTGGCTCCCTTGTTGGCAGGGAGCAAGAGGAGAAACATGCACAACCCCACGTCTTCTCCCTGCGTTGTAGGGCAGAAGTGGGTCAGGAGCGGTATGTGCCTGCATTAGGTGGGAGTTGCAACTTCAGCTGGGACTTGTGGGGAGCAGCTGTGCAGGAGCATGACTTTGCCAAGGACAACAGCAGCGGTGCACAGATTGTTCCTTCTAGCCTCTGCTCTTTTTATTAAGGGGGATGGGAGGGTGGGAAGGGAGCGGTGCAGGGAGCAGAAGCTGGAAGGAGGAACCTACATGCCATAAATACTGTCTCTAACAGAGCTGCTTCCCACAGCTGCTCCTTGCAGAACAAGGTAGAAGTGAGTCAGGAGCAGCTGTGGGGCTCATCCCAGGGCTCATCAGCAGTAGAAGGAGGGGGGCAAGTGGCTGGGAGGTAGATATGGTTCCTCTCTAAGTGGTGAGGGCAGGTGCCCGGGGGTACAGGCAAAGCACCTAAAGCAGTTCAAGTCCTAAGCATATGTTTGGCTTATTGAAGCCAATGGAGCTTAACTCCATGTTTAAAATTAAGCTGGTACTTAAGTGTTTTGAAATGAAACCTTGATGAGAGGGTTGGAAGGGGAGTGACACCACTTCAAAAGTCAAGAATATGTATTCCTTGTAATAATTTGTTCTATTATCACAATCTTTTCTAAACATCACACTCTTATACTACTCATCTCTTCATTTTTTTTATATTGAAGCCCAAAAGCAAACAACTCATAATATTTCATAGCAAAGGAAAGCATAAATAGTTTGTCAGGGAAAAGGAAGGACAAGCAACACCCCAAGCCAAATATGTTTCAGGGGAGAAGACTGTTTGAAATATCAGCGGTATTGCTGTGAGACTGCTTAGTACTTCTACTCTTACTGTGTGCATGTATCCCCTGAGCAGTGCTGTTATAGCAATTAATGTTGCACATTGAGCAATAGACCTATACAGTTCTAGTCATGTGGACTACACCTTCAGAAAAATGTGCACCTCATTAGTTATATCTACCTAAATACTGCATCTGTGTTATACTTCAGGTTTAGTACATTTTCTAATGAGGATTTTTTTCCAAACAAATCCATTCCATTTTTTTCTTTAAGCATATGTAAATCTTCATTACTCTCCTCAAATCTCTGTCTGTCTGTCACCCCACTCTTCCCAACCCCCAGTCCTACCCTCTACCCCTTTATAATTATTTTCTTTTATTGTTTGACTAATTCCATCCAGGGTGTTTCTCTCTTTTTTTCCAGAGAGTACTAGACCCTTAGACTGTTTAGTTATGTTTAAGTGAGAAGCCAGTCCAGTCTAGCTTCAAGACCCTGTACTGAAAATCCTATTTCTCAGTGGGCAAATTAGCTTTCATCATTCAGATCAGGATTGTCCATGTGGTGGCCTGCAGGCTGCATTGCACCCCATCGTGCAGCCTTCTGGGTACCACTCTCCACCTCCCTTTCCTCACCTCATCACTCTCCTACTGCAAGAGTCTCTGGGCTCCCTCCTTCTCCCCCTACCCCCGTTTCTGTTTCCTGCCCCTGCCCACTCAGAAGTTTGGACGGCTCTGATCCAGATCATCAAATTTTATGATGTTGGCAAGCAGATTAGAAAATGAACCAGTTTTGATCTTGTTGGACTGAGGGACGCTATTTCATTTATTTGATAAATTGCATTCAGTGACTTGTATTTAATCATAAATATTTGGATACCTAAAATAGTAGAACAGCTTTTCTTGAAGTCCTTTGTAGATTGTCTTTTTGTCTTTAAAAGCATTAATATAAATCTTCCTCCTGTTCTCCTGTTGAACAGCTGCTGCAGTCAATAAAATTGACTGCTCATGTTTTACATGGGTCCTTTTGTTCTCATCCCCCAAAATCAGTTTCTTGTTTTCTTTTGTTTTTGTTGCATCTGCTGCTGCTTTTAAAATCAAGTAGTTTAATAATTCTATGCTGGCTGTATCTTAGCATAAGTAAAATGAATAACATTTTGAGACTTACATAAGTCTTCTAATTTTCAGAACCTCCTATCCAAAATGGTTCAGATAACTTTGAATCCTAGAATTTAAAACTCAGTTCTTTGTTAATTAATATACCCATAATGAAACATTGTGACAGTTTCAACTGTTATGTTATTGGCATATAAAATCTTAATGCATTGAATCAAAGTCTAATTTTCATCTAAAATAGTTTCCAAAGGTCCCACACATTTTAGTTTTATAGTAGGAGAATGAGTTGTTACTAAATAGTATATGCTACTTCGTTATTTGAAAAACTGATTCTAATATGTTTCTTTTGCAGGCTGATGATAGTAAAGCATCTGTTAGAGATCGATTTAATGCAAGGCAGTTCATGTCATGGCTACAAGATGTAGATGATAAATTTGACAAATTGAAGGTATGTATCTTTGTGTCTTGTCAAGTCTGAAAATATAGACTATAGATGATGCTGTAGAGATGAGATGAAGACTTGTTTGGGTACAATATCATAAGTGGGAGATAATCACAATATAAGCAGCTTACCTTCATGTCATGTAAAGAACTCAGCAAAACACAGGTCTGTGCATCAAATAATGTTTTAACTAAAATGTGTGTGTGTGTGTGTGTGTGTATAAAATATTACTGTCAGTGTATATCTTCCAGCTTTTAAATCTCACTGGCATTACTTAAATGCAACTCTTCTTTTAACTCTTCAGTATTTGAAAATAAAATTTAACTTTTTTTTTCTTCCCCCAAAATAGACATGTCTTTTGATGAGGCAGCAGCATGAAGCAGCAGCTTTAAATGCAGTACAGAGACTGGAATGGCAGCTCAAACTACAGGAACTTGATCCTGCTACTTACAAATCTATCAGCATTTATGAAATTCAGGAGTTTTATGTTCCTCTTGTTGATGTTAATGATGACTTTGAATTGACACCAATTTGATAGCTACCATCTCTCTTTCAGTCTACAACTTTAAAGTGATGTACCATGATGGACAGAAATTTATCTGTTGAGCTCTAGCACTTCCGTCTGTGGAGTACCACTTTTTCAGTAATCCAGGTATTCTTTCAGAAAAATGTTTTCACGAAGTCTTGTAAAATATGAAAAATGGATATTAAACACTGTGTCACTTGGTGATAAATGACATTGGTTATATTGGATGCTAGTTCTACAGCCAGTTCCTGATAAGTACCGTTATTTATATTTTAAAAGTTAACTACAAATTTAGTGTGTATTCCTTTTAAAGGATTATAAAACATGGCGAGTTTACAGCGCTGGAAGCTGTTAACAGGGTAGAACAGCCACTGAAAAAATTTGATATTTAATAAAGCCTGCTTTAAATCTTTATATTATAAAATTTCAATAACAGTTGAACTCCCACAGAACAAAACAAAGATGCAACCTGTGGAAGAAAATAAAAGATTTGGAGGAGAAAAGTTTATTCATCTTATTATATTTGTAAATTATCTGTACATTTTTCTTTTTGGAAAAGATGTAATATTGTCTTCATTTTTAAATAACTTATTTTATACATGTTGTGCAAATGTAAATAGTCTTGTAATTAATGTTCAAAACCTGTATAAAATAGATATTTTAACTGTAAAACTGTTTTGTCTAATGTTTTATTGGACCAAAGTTGTAGTTTTTATTAAGTGTAGTGTGTTTCTGGTTGGCAGTTCTTTTAATAAGGCATGTGTTTGATTTAGCTACTTGTTTCATCACCACAACTGTAAAAGATTTGAAACTGAACTGTATTGCATGCTCAGCTCAACTCCTTTACTTCAGTAACTGATACCTAAACAATTGTAATATTTACAAAATCATATTTCATATTAGTCTGCTGTTGTAATGCCATACCTATGACTTACTATGCTGAAAATATTTTTATTTAAATTAAAACATAAAACCTTTTGCTCTTATATGGTGGTCTCGTAATAGAGCCTATTTTTTTCCAACAAAATGCCTTTGAATGAAAATTCTTAAATTGTACATTGTCTATTTTAATATTTACCTATGGAAGATATGTAAATAATTGTAAATATAACGTTTAATAAATTTTATTGGTCATGTTAATATATGGTTTGAGTTTTTGTAACAGTGAAATTTAAACTTTGAACCTTTATAACATGTTAAATAACCTGTAAGCATTTAAACATAGAGAATATTTGTATTTTCTTGCATGTTTCCAGTAGTTTCTGATCAACTGATGATTGGGTAGCCTTTATCTTTTCTATCATACAGAGCTAACATATAGCTTTTATCATTAGTGTTGCCAACGTGTAAGCCAGTGAAGTATTTATTTGTGGAAGATTAGAGAGATTCATTAAAAAATAGTTGCTGTCTTAGTCATTAAACACTATTTTCTCATGTATAACATGGCCCTGAAATGAGATGCCTTGTTTTTGAAAAACAGTGAAGAAAAGAACAGATTTTTCTTCATGATGAGTAACTTGAATAGCAGCAGCTAGGGAGCCAAACCTGTTCATTGTCATCATCTCCCTGCAGAATAAATTTCTCCACCCCACCTGCCCACCATATTTCCTTGCAAATAGTGTGCAGTGTGCACTCCAATTTCTAGCTGCTGATTTTTTTGAGGGGGAAAGGGGGGATGTTTGCAAGACAGTATGGTATTCCTACACTTTGGATCTGATGTCTGCTCTGAAATTACTCCTGAATTAAAAAGGAGTTTTATATGAGAAACTAGCTAGTTGGAAAAAGAGATCTAAATACTGGAAGCTGAACCTACAGCAGCTGTTAAATTACTTGGTGAACCACAGAGCATCATGCCATATACTTGTATAAAGAAAGTGCTTTTTCATGTGGAAAAAAGCTTAAAGATTTATCAGGAGATAAAATCAACAGTGTCATGTCATAACTAGTCCTATGCCAGGGTAAGAAGATAGTAAACATAATAAAGCCACACTTTGTGCCAGCTAGGAAAAGCAATTAAGGAGCCTGACGCTTCTGCTCTGTGCCAGCTATACTCCTTTGTTTACTTTTATTTGGCACTGAAGAACCAAAGAGAGCTGCTACAGGTCCATACCTTAAGAGGATCAAGCTGAAGTTAGTAAGAATGAAAAAAGGATTTTGGATATTGTGAAGTAAATGATGAAATTTTCTTACAACTGCAGATATAGAAGAGGAAAGTACACACTGGCTGCAACTACGTGAGTGGCAGACTGTGCAGTTGTTACCGCACAGTCATTTGGTATTTGCATAACCAACTACTACATAACTACACAGTGGCATACGTACACAGTTTTTTTTCTAACGCTACTGCGCAGCAGCAATAAGCTACTGTGCAGTAGCTCGTTAGTACTGTGCAGTAGCATCACATCAGAGTTGGTGCCTACCAACATTATGGCGCAGTAGCATCTCATGTAGATGCAACCACTGACTACAAACTGTGTATAATAAATGTTAATTGGATCTGGATAAATGCTAAGAGGAACGTGAAAGAAACATGATAACATGTCAACAGTGTAAAGGAGAAGTGACAAAGGGCACAGTTTTAAAAGCATCTTCAGATTTGATAAAGTAAAAAAACCCCAAAACTAAAAGCAAAATGAGCTGGAGTTGAAAGAAGGTACAGACTTCTGAAATATGAATAATCCAGAGTATCTTAATTCCTTACTATAAACTGTGCAGATTAGTTTTTGTTGCATTAATGTTATCCATAATAGTCAAGAAGCAGTCCTTGCTAAAGAAAAATGCTAATACTTGGAGAAGACAACTGTGTAAATTCTATATAAATGCAAATCCAAGCTGATGAGTTATAGTAGTACCTATCTTATTTAGTCAGCACAATGATGCTGCAATCTACTAGGACAATGACTAATTTTGTTCTACTGCCCTGAAACATGGTTACACTGAAGTTCCTTTTCTGTTTGATGAGCAAAATTAACAAGAGCTTGTTGAGTTTGGGAAGAGCCACAGTATGGCTCATGGAAGATAGTCCCTTTAGATTTCAAGCTCCATTAAATATGTAAAGAATCAAGACTAATGCCTATTAGTGCATTAAGGCAGTTTTTTCTAATGTACATTAAATTAACCATCTTCAGTGTGAGGTACTAAACACGCATGGTAGGCTTTCTTAATACACAGCAATGAACGTGTGTGGTTTTTAAGTGACAGTGTGCAGTAGCCTATTTCATTATGTATTGGTGTAACTGCACATTTTTTAACCTGATGCTTTAATACACAGTAAAATAGACTACTGCGCATTAAAGTGCATGTGTAGATGCACCCAGTATGTCTAGTTCACTGTGCAACTTGGTTACCTCTGGAGAAATGGACCTTATTTAGTGCTGCAGTTCCCACTCCTAGGAAACGAGGGTTGGAAGGGACCTCAGGAGGTCACATCTCGTCCAGTCCCCTGCTCGAAGCAGGACCAGCCCCGACTCCCATCGCAGCCAGGCTTTGTCTGCTTGGGTCTTAAAATCCTCCAAGGATGGAGGGTCCCGCACCCGCACCCCTCTGGGTCGCCTGTCCCAGAGCTTCCCCGCTCTCCTTTAATTCAGTCAGGACTGAGCCGGCCCGGAGCCCTGGCTGGGCTGGGGGAGCTCCCTCCGCGCCCCGCAGCTCCCCGGGGCCCGAGCTCTCCCCTCTCCTCCCCGGGCACGGCCTGTCCCTGTCCCTGCCCCTAGGCGGGGCGCTGCCTCCTCCCCCTCCTCCTCCTGGCTGCGGGGGGAAGCGGCGGGGCCGGGGCTGCCTCTGCCTCCTCGGGAGCGGCGCCGTGCGGTGAGGGGGGCCGGGGCTCTTTGTCCGGAGACCGCGGGGGAATGCGGCGGCCGCGCCGGGGCGGAGAGAGGCCCCGGGCCCATCTCTCCTCAGGGCCCGCGAGGGGGCTGCTGGGGGCGGCAGGCC